TTCATGGATTGAAAGTGTTAGGAACGTTCCAGGTCAGGATGGGGGTGGAGAATTAAAACCTTATACTGGAATTTCTTTCTCAAAGACTCTAGTGGAAGTAAAGACAGTAATTTGCAAGAATCATTCTAGCACAAAGACTTATGTTTTGCCAAAAAATAAGCAGTGAGGAGAGAATAACAGGTAACCAGGTCTTGTACTTGGATACTTGTTTTAGTGGCACAATCTGTTCCACATAGTATAAAATGACAGAAAGAAGTTTGCATTTGTCATAGACGTGTAGAATATTGGGATTGAAAAGTGCTTTTTCCTTGTTTTGATTCAGGAGAAATATAGCTTGTTTAATATGCCATAAAGGAAGGCATGTACCTAGATAGGAAACAGCCTCACTTTGCTCACACAAAGGTTCAGGATACTTAACAGCAAATTAGATACGTGTGGGAAATGCTTCTGTTAGCCAACTTTATAGTGACTGGATAAATAAAAGGAGAGAATATGGCTTAGGCCCTCTGAAAATCCAAGATATTTTGGAAATGAAGGAGTGGAAAACAAAAGTTGGTTTTTTTTTCTTAATCTTGGAGTGAACATACACTTTTAATATTAGGGTTAGGTGACTCAACTAAAAATAAGAATTATTATTAAGAAAAATAAATTAATGGAAAGTGTGTATATGTATAATAAAAATCTGAGAAAATAAGAAGGGTTTGAAAGGCACTGGATTTATGCTTTTATGTTCTGGTAAATTAGTATTGATTAAGTCACACTAATCTATTATGTTTATGTAGAATAAAACATGTTTTTACACTGAAGTAAGCCAAGAAGATTGGTTAAACTTTGTGGACTTGGAAACGTAGAACTGTTTTAAAAAATGTAGAACTGTCTTGGGTTGCAGATCTATTGAAATTTTAAGAAATGAACCCAGAATGATGCTACATAAAGCCTTGAGTGACTAGGAAGCTATATTTCAAAAGTTATTTGAGGTCTCAAGTCAAAGTTCTTTCTGTGATGAAATCAATCATTTTAATTTTATTTTGGTGATTCTTTGGTCAAGAAGCTTGTAGACTATTTATGAGCTATTTTTTATTCTATGTGTACAGTAAAGAAAGTTATTTTGTTTCTAGTAGTAGAACCAAATCTTCCACTTTAATTTTGAGGTGTGATAATAAAATGGTATTTATAGGATCCATGAGGCTAGCAGAAAGAGAAAATGCCAGTAACTTCTACTAGTACCACTGTGATTACAGATTCACTTAAGAGTTTAAATTAGAGCTTTCTCAGTTTTGAAGAAGTGCTTTTCCCATGAAACAAACCTAAGCTCACTTGGAAAAATCCACTACCAGATTTAGTCATTTAACTTGACCTCCTTTAATTATGTGCTTGATCTCTCCTCCAAATTGAATGGGAGCTACTATGTACTTCACCAGGCAACATGCAACTCAGTTGTCAGTAAATGGTGTAACTAGATCTGAGAAATTTACAATGATTTACTTAACAGCTTAGGTCAATTGATATCAAGTGAACTTCAGCAAAGATAAATTTGGAATAAGCTAAACATAGAAGACAGAACCACTTGCTGAATGAACATATGAGAGGCTGTATACAAAGAACCAATAAGCTAAACCTAGGAGTACAAGTAAACATACTTCTCCTGGTAATAATCATGCCATTACACCTAGCAATATGAGGCTCAATCTAAACTGACCTTCATATGTATCTGCAATGGCATTATCTATATGCCCAGTCATGATCCCTCCATTATTGGCCTAGGGAGCTCTTGGTGAAAGAGGTGATTCTTCCATAACTACCACTCGCCATATGTGTCTGCTGGTAGGGAAATTTAATGAGTCTTTTGTAGAGTAGATGCCTCAAGCGAATTGGATCACCACATGAAATGGACATTGCTAGATCTAATGAAGAATACAGGTGTCCACCACGTTTCTGAAAGACTGCCACCCAAACTTGCTGCTGCATCCTTGATAAAACCAGAGATCATGAACCTGCTCCCTTGGTTAGGAATGCTACAAGTTTACACAGTGCAGAATACAATCTTGTCCCTAGTAGCCCACTTTCCAGATCACTAGGGAATAGGGTAAAGAGAGAAAGCTGTAAAAGTGGAATTACTTGCACTGATCAATATTTTGTGAGTCGAATAAAGTCCTCTTAATTATTGGTGCCAGGATGATCTATTGCATGCTAAGAGATATTTCACTAAGATACCTTTTGGAATTCTGATTTTGAAACCCACTAGATAAGCAACAAAAATAACTGCTATTTTTGCATGAACTTTTTTTCAAATATGTTGGATATAGGAAAACTTCAAACATGTTTTTCAAGGCACTTTCTCCTTCAATTTTTGAGCCCATGTACACATGGACGGTAATTTAATCTTGACTCATGTAAATCATCAAAGTATTGCTTCATAAAAACCTATCTGATTTCCAAATAAAACAATATCAATATTTCTTTACATTCCTGTTTGTAAATCTGTGTGTTTTATATGTATTTAATACAGAAAAATGTGGACGACTAATGTTTTAAATTTGGCTTAAGCTTTATGACTTCCAAAGACAGTACAGTAAACTACTGTTTATTCAATATCCAAACGACCACAGGACTCAAAAACTGAATAAAGGACTTTATTCTGTAGGAATGTAAACATGCTGATATAAGAACTTTTTTCCCCAATTTTCAGTGTCAGTATAGATTCAAACACTACTTAAAGTCTTCTAATAGAAGAAAGGACAGTTCACTAATAGTTATGATTAGTGTTCCTGACTGTAAGCTTAAAATCCTAAAGTACTTTATTGTTTCATTTGTTTATTTATTTATTCATTGATTTATACAGCAAATGTAAATTAACTGCCAGAGACAAAGGATACAAAGATCAATCAGATATGGTTTCTGCCTGTGAGACACCACACAAGCTAGGGAAATAGATATAAGTAACTAAGATTAACACATTTCAATAAATATTAGATAAAATTATTCAAAGGAAGTTTAAACTACAGTTTAATTTAAAAGCCCTTTTATCATACTCTAGTTCTTTGAAATTTACTTATGTGAAGGATTCAGTTAATTGCCAGTGTTTTGACCATCCTGGATAAATGAAAATTGACATTAAGTTTTTCCATATAATGGAAAACAACAAATATTTGTGACAAAACTCAAATATATTGTAAGCAAAACATATTTTTAAAAATTGGAATAGCTTAATAAAAATATCATTTTTCTAGTGGCATTTTCTTTGAAATTTTAAATTTATTATGGAAATGATTTTGGCTCATTGAAATAATATTAAATTATTATATCAATATTTCAGGTCATGACCCTGGATTTAAGAAATTTTTCAAGACAGTTTTGAGTATAATCCAAGAGAAAATGTGATTTTAGTCTGGAGACAATTGTGAATGTAAGTATTGGAAAATTAGATTTTTCTCATTTTTCCATGCAATAAAAACTAAAATATCAACTCATTAATTTTTGAATTGCAAAAACTTTGATTCATTGTCTTCTCTCTATTACAACATGATTTTTTACATCTAAAATTAATGGAATTCTTCCTATTTTTTTGGGGGGGGGTTGTATTTTTTAAAGATCAGCTAATAATAAAAGCCCAGTGTAGCTGATTGAAGAGAAAACATTATTTGGAAGATCGCTACAATAAAAAGAAAAGTTTCTTCTAGGTAAGTCATTGATGAGGGCAAGCAATGGCATAGATTGTGTGTTAGTTAATGGCATGCTCTCATTGCATGTGATAATGCAAATGCTAAGTAAAATGAAGAAAAGTTTTTTATAATTCTTATTCTAACATTTGCCCTTTAATAAAAATCATGACATGTTTCCTAAGAAAATCAAATCTAAGTTCATAGTCCACTGGCAAATATCTATTGATTAGATTTTTATCTCCTTTGAAAAATATTTTTTACTCATTCAGTTAAATAAATACTATATTTTATGACTAAACCATGGTCATTTATATTTCATAAAAATACTACCAGAGTATGTTGATCATGGAACTTAGAGGGAGTAAGCATTATACACGTTACTCCTGCAATGTTTGTCTCTTAGAATTAAGAAGTTAGCAGAGAACTGTATCTATCATTAGAAATACTCAACTTTTATTTGGTATTGCCCATCTCCTGTAAACTTATTTTAATAATATAGATGACTTAGGGAATCTTTTATTTTTTATTTTATTTATTTATTATTTTTTTTTGCGGTACGCGGGCTTCTCACTGCTGTGGCCTCTCCCGTTGCGGAGCACAGGCTCCGGACACGTTGGCCCAGCGGCCATGGCTCATGGGCCCAGCCGCTCCGTGGCATGTGGGATCTTCCCGGACTGGGGCACGATCCCGTGTCCCCTGCATCGAGCAGGCGGACTCTCAACCACTGCGCCACCAGGGAAGCCCGGGAATCTTTTATTTTTGATTAAAAAAATTGAATGCTGAAGTGAAGAATAATTTCTATTAAATCATAAGGCCATTTTTATGACTTATGGATGTTAACTCTCAAGAAATTGGCCCAAATACAAATTTTTCCCTTAAATTGTTGAAGAGTCATAAAATTAAAAATAAGATTAATACTTATCGGAAATAAAGGTAAGCTTTATAGTAAAATATGCTATCAAAATTTGTGCTTTTATGTTCTCGTGAAACTCTTTACTTTGTATTTTTTATCCCGACTTTGGTAAAGATAAAGAAAGTGAGATGTTTTCTAATTACTTAAAAATATATCTGTAAGAGGCTTTCCTGCTTGTAAGGCTAATTAAGTTAAATTAAAATGTATTTAATTAAGCTCTTTAGTACTTTAAGCCATGATGCTCTTAACATTTGTAGTATGTAAGACTATTAATCCAATCCTTAAAGCAAAATTATTGTGTAGTTTTAACATTTTTTCCATTGAGAGCCATCTATGTTTATTTCATAAATATTGCTAAATTATATTTCTTTTATTTTCTATTGCAGTTTGATTTATATTATATAACATATTTCATCTTGGCTTTAATGATGGAGAAAAAGTGTATCCTGTATTTTCTGTTTCTCTTGCCTTTTCTTATGGTAAGCATAAATTTCTCTAATGTATCTCCCTATCTATGATTATTTCTGTTTTAACTTCCAACATACCCATAATTGATAAAGGCTAATAATACAAAAATACATGTAGTTATTGGATGCATAAATTAAGTACATTTTTATATCTAATCAACACAGCAATCATTTGTTTCCCTTCAGTGTACCGTTTTAGGCTTTTAGTCCTGTAGCAGGCACAACAGTATGATGGTGCAGTGTGGGTGGAGGGATGATGAACACAAATGTGCGGACGCCAGAGAAAAGCCATTACCAGAGTTTGAAAGAAAAATGGAATGGCTCTATAGTACAGTCGTACGTAATAGATGAAATATTTTCAATCAGACCTGCTGATTCTGAGTTAGATCTATTAAAAAAGCAATTCCAACCTGTTGATTTTTCTCCCATTCTGCCAAGTGATTGACCTGTATTGATTGAAAAGCACTTTGGAATCATGCACTATGTTTTAAATTAATTTCCTCACCCATTCACTCAAATAAGTATTAAGTGCCCATTTTCTGACAGGCATGGATGCTAAATTTGAGGCAGATGTATATGTGAGTATGTGCACTCCTGCATGCCTCTGCATGTATATGCAGGGGACGTGGGGCTGGAGGTGGAGGGTAGACTAAGGATGACTAAAAAGCAATTGCTGTACTCAAGGGGTCATAGGTCATAGACATTTAATTTTATTTTTATTTACAGAAATTTTTGTTCCTATTTTTCCCTGTTTCACATTAAAACAGTGACTATACTCTTATTATATGTTGAGAAACTCAGAGACATAATCTCACCTAATTCTGTGCCAGCAAATAATTTTCTTGTGGTGTTTCCAAGTAAACCCCACAAAGATTCAAACAAAGAAACTCAAGAAAAATGTAGAAAACCTAAATGGGAAAAAAGCACAACTACTCTCCTGTCATCCTTTGTATTTAAAAACATTCTCAAGTCTAGGAGCAGTCCAAATTCTGCACTTCTTAGATGTTATCTTAAGTAAACAGACTGAAATTCAAGAAACAGGATTCCTGTTTCTTCAGCTCCCACCCTCCATTGAGCATGCCAATGAGCTGCACAGGCCAAAGGTGGTTCCCTGTAGGTAGTTCTGTAACAGATTACCAATCTGATTGTTCTAATTTAAGGAATTGTGACCGTTTCTCTTGAATTCATTCAGACAATGTGCAAACTTGAGTTTTTAAGTAAGAATAAAAATGATATTGATTTTATGCAATTCTATAAACTGAGAACAGGAGGAAATAATTTTTTCTTGATGTTATAAATTTCCATTTCTTGTGCAGCACAACAGCTGCATAAGTCTTTATTAAGAGATTAAAACCAATCAAAGAATAAAAAAGTTAATATTAAATGGTGGTGAGGTGATGGTGAAACTTGAGTGGTGCCACATACTGAGGGACTTTTACTATTTATTTTAAATTTAAATTAAACTTCCTGCTAGAGAATAGAAAATCAAAAATAAGGAAACAAAATAGGAATAGAAAGGTAACTATTTATGGAAAATAATTAATAGGAATTATGCAAAAGCAAAGAAGAAATAAGGTTGAAGAAAGGCTTATACAGGCTTCATGCTACAAAACAGGAAAAAAAGTCATGTAGAAATTAAAGTATAAGTGAAGCTTAAAATAAAGCTACTAAAGTGGAAGAATATAAATATTCTTTAGAGTTGCCTAAAACCTTTATTGATGTGCATACAATAAAAATTCTGTTTACCAACATCATAAATGAACTTGTCATTATCTTATCAAAATGTAATTATAAAAATGGCAACAATTTTAAGCATTTACCATGTGCCAGATACTTCCCCTCTGTTATCTTGATACTATTTTATCCCATTTTACAATAAGAAAGCAGAACTTTTGGTGGTCATAGAGGGGGTGGTTAAATATCTTGTCTACGCTCCCAGGTCAAAAAATAGAGGTGAATTTTGAATACAGCTGCCTGCATTCCAGATACATGGCCTGGAGCTGGCTCCCACAGTCTTCTGAGAGGGAACTGTGGACTATGCTGCTCACTGGGGCCATTGGCAACTCTTGGTGGTGGTTTGAAATTGGACATAGTAGCGATATTTACACCATGGAAATTGGCAAACACTACAAATCAGGAATTTCCCCCCAGAGCCTGATGACCCTGCAGTACATCACTGCACTTACTGTTTTCCAATGTGACAGACTGCTTCTCACAGACATTCTCACAATTCTGAAGTTTTATTTTCTTTAATCCCTTAGATTCTTGTCATAGCAGAATCAGAAGAGAACCCTGGTGACTTAATTCAGTTGGGTGTTACTAGAAATAAAATCATGACGGCTCAATATGAATGTTACCAAAAAATTATGCAAGACCCTGTTCAACAAACAGAAGGTAACCATGACTAATTTTAAATGCATTTAATATATTTTTGAAAGAAAACTACCTCATTACATTGTTACGGGTCCCTTAGGTCCATTCTTAAAAATGGGTTAATTGCTAGTTTTTCTGGTATATGTGCAGTTTTAATTATTTACTTATGAAGAACATTTTATGATGCAATTATCTTGCCTCTTTTTAAAAATTCTAATAAAAATATGTGTGACAGGGATATTTTTAGTAACATTTTTTTATGGTATAAAGATATTTAAAATATCAAATAAGTATGTGTCTTGGATTAAATCAGTGACAGTTGATCTTCAGTTTATGTGATTTGTATGTCTTTTTTTTCAAAAGCTCCTTGATAATAGCTTAATAAAATGACAAATAATTTTTTTTTTTTTGCACATAACATACTTTGTGTGATACATTTGGTAGCAAAGCTAATGAAATCCGAGAGCTTCTGTTTCCATTAAGATATTTTTAAGGAATTTTTGAAACATTTATTGAGGGCCTACTAAGTGCCATATATATGCTTCAATTCTGAGAAGGACAAGTAGAGTTGCCAAATTTAGCAAAAGCAAAAACAAGTCCTGTATTTTACCTGGCAACCCTAAAGGCAGAGTTATGTTCAAACTGTAAAATGCAACACTCATAGTGAAACAAAGCAAAATGTGAAGACTTTAGATATTTTTAAATCTTTAAACCATCAGTGGAAACAAAGAATTTAACTTTGGGGGAAAATATTTGATAGTATAAAATACAGTGTTTGTTATATACATGAAATGTTAAAAGTAGGTTACTATTAGTATTTGTAACTGTCAAAATGAACTTGCTTGTAAGAAAGAGAAAAAAGAAATTTTTCTGCATTGGTCAACTCTTGGAACTTTAATCTAACTGAACAATACAATTTGTTCATCTTAGGAGAAGTAGTTAGATATATCTGCCCAAACATTTTTATTACAATATATATCCAGTTAAAACATGTCTTTAAAATATGCCAGACAATGACAAACTATCTGATATTAGCTCAATAGGGATTGAATTATCAAGTAATTAAAATTTGTATACAAATTCTTTGTTAACTGATCTGGCTTCTCACTTTATTCCATTAAAATTTAAGTGTTGGGCTTCTCTGGTGGCGCAGTGGTTGAGAGTCTGCCTGCCGATGCAGGGGACACGGGTTCGTGCCCCAGTCTGGGAAGAACCCACATGCTGCGGAGCGGCTAGGCCTGTGAGCCATGGCTGCTGGGCCTGCGGGTCCGGAGCCTGTGCTCCACAACGGGAGAGGCCCCAACAGTGAGAGGCCCGCGTACTGCAAAAACAAAAAACAAAAAACAAAAAACTAAATGTTATTAGTTTAAAATTATTGAATTAACACCTTCCAAATCATCTAGATATGTGTGAAAGCTAGCTTCAAATCTAATTGTTTAACAATAGGAATATATTTATGAGGGTTTTATAATAAAATAATTTTGTGATAAAATAAGTTCAAGATCACTGCATAATAAATCTTCCTCTTGGAGAGTCATAATACACTTTGTAATTTTAAATACTCTAGAAAATCTTGTTATAAAGAAATGTTTATTTTAACTTTGTGTTCTCCAAATCTATTTGATTACATAATTTTTTAATGGAATACCTATCATGTATCACTCAAATGCCATACAACACAGTTGGAAAAATTCTAGACCTGGCAATTTATCATGCAGCCAGTGTTGTGGAATCTTTTGGAGCAGTATAAGGACTTGTTTGTGAGGCTTTCTAAGATGGTATCAGGAAATTTTTCTCTGATAGGCCACAAAATGCATTTTATTTAGTAATATGTGGATGCAAGCTATTTATATGAGTTTGAAAATCACAGGAGGGAAAACAGACTATCTGAGGCTTTTTTTTTTTTTTAACTAGAATTATTTAGATTTTCAGGCCAATAGAACTTTTTCTACTTCCGTGAAGCCTAGACTGATTCTGAGATTGCTGTACAAATCTGTTAATAGTAATAAACATCTCATGCAACATTCAAGTTTCTTTCTATGTGTGCTTACCTAACAAGGCAGAAAATTACTCTCTTTGATTACAGACTTATAACTTTGGAACATTTTGGTCATTTTATTTCTCTATGTCTTTAAAAAACTTTACATTTTTTCATGTAAGAGGTTCTTTCTCTTAATGTTGGTAAGAAAAGAATGAGAGATTAAACACTCTACTTCATTTGAAAAGAAAAGGGAGGAAAGTAAGAGCTAGAATTTGGTGGAGGGACCTAAATAAGTATGTGTCAGGGTTAATGTGGTAACAGGAAATATTGGAATGTTCATCCGTTCACTTCAGAAAATACTATAACTTGCCCTAAGAATACAGTTTCTAAAATAAAACACGTTTTCAATTTCCCATATTTTTTGAATTTCAAGCATAGGGACACTAATTAACCACTACTTTATGGTTAAGAAAACCAGCAAAGACCATGTGATTTATTAAATAAATAGCTACCTTTGAGAATTAGAATTAAAGCTAAACCTCATATTTTTTAGATATTTCTAAATTTAATTTAACAATTAGTTATTCTAATAATTACTTTGTGAATAATCCAAGTAATTGTTATAAAGATTTTATATGATGTCCTCATTTTCAGTAGACAGTCTTTATTCCATGTCAGTGTGAGTCTACCATTAAGACTTTATGTCTTTCTATATAACTAGAGGGAGTTAGTTAGCCCTAATTTCTACTCTCCCCTTAAGGCATTTATTGCAACAGAACCTGGGATGGATGGCTGTGCTGGAATGATGTTGCTGCAGGAACAGAATCAATGCAGCACTGCCCAGATTACTTTCAGGACTTTGATCCTTCAGGTAAAAGCAGAAATTTATATACAAATCTCCTTGACATCTATTTAATAAAGCCTAGGTTAACTAAATTACTGTTTCGTTTTTTCCTTTTTAATTTTAAAGAAAAAGTTACAAAAATCTGTGACCAAGATGGAAACTGGTTTAGACATCCAGCAAGCAACAGAACATGGACAAATTATACCCAATGTAATGTTAACACACATGAGAAAGTGAAGGTAAGTAATAATTATAAATTCAGATTTAATTTACACTATTTTAAAAGTTAGTTGCCGATACAATATTGGAGAAAATTTAGCCAGTGTTCATTCCATTGTAAAGCCTTTTCATCATAAAAACAATGAACAAAAATATCTTCTTAGAAATAATCATTGATTTGGTCATTACACCGAGGAAGCAATCCTGCTAGGTAATTCAGTGTCTCAGTATTGGAGTTCAGAATTTTCCAAAGTAAACATACTTTAAAAATGTAAGAAAAAAGAAAATTTTCATCTGTGGTGGAATTCCTATAATTACGGTCAGGAATTGTGCTCAAGTAAACAAAATAAGCCCAGCAGGGTTTACACAGTTCCCTCAGCAGAAGGCTTTCATTCTGACTGGCTATTAGGTCACCCTCACTGGCATTCCCACTTTTAACATCATACGTTAAAGTCAAGGTTAGTCAAAGTTTGTCACAATAAAGCTTCGATACAAAGTGCCTGCATATATTTGCACGTGTGTGTATATTGAGGCAGTTTGTCACAGTGATTAAAGCTGAGTTCTGATTTCTGACTTCCTGTTTCTGCTCCTTACCAGCTGTGACCTTGGGCAAGCTGTAACCTCTCTCTGCCTCAGTCCCCTCCTGTGTAAAGTGAGGATACTAAAACCATCCGCAAGGCTTTCATAAGAATTGACTTAATACAAGGAAAATATTTAGAAAACTAACAAGCCTATAGTAAGCATTTGATAACTGCCAGCTATCATAATTATAAATCAGGTATTCATTGCTTACTCAGAGAAGGGTTTGAAGAGAATCATAAAAATACACAATAAAATGGTAAGTTACAATAGAATAAAGACAAAAATCAGAGGAAAAGTCAAAACCAATATAAAAAATGTATTTGTACAGATCAGAGGCGCCTGTAGATTACTGTTCTGAGACCTGTTTTGAAGCCTCAAATTTGTCAAAGGAAAAAAAAAAAAAACCCAGTTAGGAAAGAAAGCCTTATCTGGCATTTAAGTCTAAAGAAACAAACAAAAATCATTGATTTAAGGTGCACAAACTGATAGAGTGAAAATTGTCAATGTCCTCCAAAATGATAAATGTTTGTTTTCATATTTTATACAACGTAGATCAAGAAATTTATTTCTTCATATGTTTAATATGTGACTCCTAATTTCTTAAATAAAAAGAGCAATTTATAAATTTTGATATCACCTGATAAATTTTCATAGATATTCTTCATTCCAGATGTATTCTAATACTCATTGGCTTGCAAACTAAATGGTAAGGCTATCTGATCACATATTTTTAAAAATATGTTATTTTATTGATTTTGAGCTTATACACATGTAGAATTATAGTATTGATATGAGCCTTAATATTTATTTTTATCCATACAAATTACAGACTGCACTGAATTTGTTTTATCTGACTATAATTGGACATGGATTATCTATTGCATCACTGCTTATCTCACTTGGTATATTCTTTTATTTCAAGTAAGTACATGTAAAATTTTTTTTTAGCTTACTGATTATCTTTGGTGAATGCAGTATCATATGCATGTTTATCCATGTGCTGATAAAATTTATGAAATATAGATGATTTATAATGTTTAAAATAAATTGAATGTTTAAAATAATTAGAACTATGTTGACTTTATCTTGACTTTATAAAATGTAGAGAATCAGGAGATTGATAAAATATCTGAAGCCTAACTTTACAAAATGAGTATGCATATAAGAATGAAGTCATGCAGTAAAAAGGGAGCCAAAATGAATATGTAAACCTATCTTTATTTGCTTTGGAAACAGCCAAATATTATAGGCCTTCCTAATTAAATTTTCAACTTCTTGGTCAATTTTAGTATCAGTATACATGGTACATTATAAGAACTGGTATTTTGTGCAAAAAATAGCAATGACATCTAATATATATTATTAAAAATAATAATTTCAATATATTATGGTTAGGTTAATTTTTCTGGTTTGGGGGGGTCATTTTTAAAATAGTTTTAAAATTATATTTTGAAATTTACTTGAAGTTTATTCTTTTTTAGGGTGGAGGGAGAGTCAGCTCCAATTTCTTTTTTTTTTTAGTTGAAATATAGTTGATTTACTGTGTTTTAGATATACAGCAAAGTGATTCAGTTATGTGTGTGTGTATATATATATATATATATATACACACACATATATATATCCTTTTTCAGATTCTTGTCCATTATAGGTTATTATGAAATATTGAATATAGTTCCCTGTGCTATACAGTAGGACCTTGCTGTTTGTCTATTTCATATATATAGTAGTGTTATCTGTTAATCCCAAATTCCCAATTTATCTGCCTTCCTCCAATTTCTTGATTCAACCTATCAACTGTGATTTTTTTTTAATTGACAGGAGGGTAAATTCTAAAACTGCATAATTATCTTATGCATTAACATGGTCTTCATAATTTTGATCACCACCAGTAATTAAAGAATTCAGTGTAAAGACAGAGTAGCTATATTTTATTGTATCTTCATCACCAGTGTCACTGCCATTGTCTCTCTCTTCCTCTCCTTCCTCCTCCTCTTCTTCCCTCTTCCCTCCTCCTCCCCCTCCCCCTGCCCCTCCTCCTTCTCCTTTTTCAACAATCATCTTGGAACATTAGCAGCTTCAGAACCAACTAAAGTAGTAGCTGCACATCAAAATAAACCAAATCCAGAAATTATTAGACACCTAGATGTTAGGCTCATTTGTAACTGGAGCACCAGCTTTTAGCCCACAGTTCGTCAAATATTCAAAGTACATGAAATAATATACGAACTACAACGATTATTTTTCATGGGATCAAAATCATGGGATCTATAGATTGCATCATAATTGCTGTTTTTGGAAACTTGCACTTTCTTAAGAATCTTCAATACAAGTTACTTTGGGGAATTTTTTAAAAACTTTTTGTTTTATATTGGATACAGCCAATTAACAATGTTGTGATAGTTTCAGGTGCACAGCAAAGCAACTCAGCCATGCATATACATGTATCCATTCTCCCCCAAACTCCCCTCCCGTTCAGGCTGCCACGTAACATTAAGCATAGTTCCCTGTGCTATACAGTAGGTCCTTGTTGGTTATCCATTTTAAATATAGCAGTCTGTACATGTAGGTCCCATACTCCCTAACTATTACTTTGGGGAATTTAAATGGCACTTTTGATTGATAACATTATCGAGGCACCATTAGAAACCGACTAAAAATATTCCACTCTGAATAAAGCTAATTCAACATTTGAGTACATTTTAAAATGTGACTTTTTTTTTTTTTTTACTAAATTGTGTTAAAACATGCATCAAAATAAGTTGAAGAGACTTTTTATCCTAAAATATGGAAAACATTTCTTAAAGAATAAAATTTACTATACTATATTTTGTAACAAATTGCCAAAATGTTCTTGCTCAAAACAAACTGTCAATTCTCAGTCACTGCCTTTATAATTAGTTACATAATATCAGTTGCTTATATACAGTTTAATAAAACTTCATGTCTTTACTCTTGAATATACTCTTAGGTTATGTAAGATTTTTGAAATGAATATTTTGGAGTATGAAAAACTTCATTATGACTGTCTAATAGATTGAAAACTGGAAAATAAACCATTTCCCAAAGTGACAATTTTTAAATAAAGTCCTCAGGTCTACAGTGATAAATTATTTATGCTAATTGACAAAGTGAAATAATGTTACTGATGATAACAAACTTATTGGTAAAATATGGCACTAAAACTCAGTTAATATTTTATTTAGTACATTTAAAAACACAAAATAAAATTAAAATTTCAAAATCTCACTTAGTATAAATTTAAGAAAGATATAGTTCTTTTTTCTTCTTTATTGCTGAAAACAAAATCTTTACAATTTAAAAATGAATGTATCTAAATTTGAAAAAAATGACTCTCTTGCATCTTAGAACTAAATGTTACAAGTAATTCCCTAAAATCTATGCAGTACTCTAGAACTCAGATTTTGAGTTCATTAAAATTACATATTACCACACATACAAACCCAGAGAAGATTAATTTAAATGTAACTAATATCAGCTAAGATTCTTTTTCTAACTTGGAGACTTTTATGACCATGACTAAGTATAAAGTAGATCAGCCTCTACCCTAAAGGCATACAATAGAAATCATAAGAGTTATTTAAGACTATCTTAAAAAGCTTCTTGGAAAAAAAGTTATGTTTTAATATTTCTAACCTCAGGAGAAAGAATGCAACCATTAATTAAAAACAAACTAATCTTGAGAACTGCACTTAAATTTGCAATATTTTAAAAAATTGAGAACTTAATTTTTTTTAATAAATTTTTAAATAAAGAAATATATACACCTAAAATTCTAATACACTATTGGGCAATTTCATTTATTTTTCCAGTTTTATTTCATACTCATTTGTATTTACTCAGTTTTATTTGTAATGTACAAATTATTTTAACTATTTTTACAACTTAGCATTATATAATTCTTTCCCTGTCACTAAGTTTTTAAAACAACCATTTAATTGGCTAATTGGCTATTTAATTGGCTAACTAATATTGCATTTAGTAAGTTGACGAAAGTTTACTAAATCATTCTTCTATTTTTGAAAATTAACGTTGCTTCCAGCTTTTCCTATTAATAAAATACACTGCAATGGACATTTTCAGCCATAACTTTCCCCATATTTTACACTATTTTCTTAGGCTACATTCCCAGACTTGTGATTTCTTGGTGAAAGGGTATTTATCTTTTTATGTCTCTGGAGATATATCATCTCAGAAGTATTTCAAAATCAACATGTTCGAAACAAATTCATACTATCTACCTTCTCCTAACCCAAAGCAGTTTTTCTTCCAAAGCAACCCATCTTTACAAATAACACCACCAGCAATCTAGTTGCATAAGCCATAGACTTAGGAGCAATCTTCGATACCGTCTCAGTTTTCCTATCATTCTCTCCTCATACTCTGTGGATAAAACCTCCTAACAGCCCTCCAATCTATCCATTTTGTTTCATCTCTCCTGCCACCACCACCAACCTAGTATTATCTAGCCTCAGTAAGTCCACTTTCACCATCTTCATTCAATGCTAAACATCGCAGCCAGAATATTTTCAAAGATTTATATTAAATATAGATCTAATTTTGTCATCCCTTGCTTTAAAAATTTTAGACTTCCTATTATAATTTATATAAAATCAAAGTCATTAATGTATCCTATAATTGAATATTCTGTAGAGTCTCTTCCCTGCTCCTCTAGTCTAGTTAAATGTAGTCTCATCTTTCAGATCTAAACCTTAGCATCATTTCCTCAGTGAAATCTCTGTGATTATTTTATTGTAGTATTTCTGAAACTGCAACTAGTTTGTGCTGAATGTGGAACAAATTTTTAATTACCATTTAGGAGCCCACCATCTCTTCAGATTTAATACTAATACAGCTGAGACCCTTCAGATTAAATGATCTCTTTTTATTTTGCATGTAATAAGCCAAAATATTTAGACACATTAAACTTCTGAAGGACACAAAGTTAAATATAGCAATTATATTGCATGCCAAAATCAGTAGTTAAAAAGACGACAAAGGGTGTCCTAGAATTCCAAGTCCTATGGCTCCAATCAAGTTTGAAATTTAAGGATATAAATAAAGTTCTAAACTAACTCCATAAAACCAAATGTAAAATTAACAGTTTCTTTATGAAAGAGCCATGATTTAACTGAGCAAATGCTTGCTGTGTACTAATGAGGCAATAGTAGGACTGCCAAGGGAAAACAATATTGCAAGCCAGACTATACATAAATGCAAAGTATCCAGTTTCAAAGCTCTAATTAGACCAGTCATTTACTCTGTCTACTATGGACTGACTTTGTAAGAGGAAAAGAGGATGTCATAGAACTGACTTATCAGGACAATGAAGAAATTAAAGAAAATAATATCTGCTGATTAGGGAGTCAAGGACCAAAAATGTTAAGCCAAACGACAAAATAAACAGGGAATAGCAGATGACTTCAATAATTTGAAAGACTAAAATGGGAATAGAGTTTGTATAATAACACAGAGAGAAAAAATAGTTGGTTCAATTAAAAACAATAAAAAACGCTAACAGGCAAACAAAATAGACTGAACCATCTGTTGACCAACTGACCTTTCTGTCACCCAAGATTTTCAGATATTAGGTGTCAACCTAGCAGGAATTTTGAAATAGGTTATTTCTATACTGGGTTCATAGCTGCACCTAATGATCTGTAATGCTACTTTCAAGCCCAAGTCTATAATTTAGGAAAGAAGATTAGGATGAAAGAGTTAATTTTTTAAAACAAAATATATAATTTCAATATCAGGAAAGTTAGCATTTGTGAAAGTATTTTGCAGGCTGAAAGCAATCTACACAGGTAAACTACATTTATTATTGATTAGGAATTGAAAGAAAATCTGGTTCAATATTTTTATATCTGCATTTACATATATTATATTTTAAAAAGCAA